TAAATAACAGGTGTCTAGTGTTTGACTACGTTTCTGACACACCTCGTCGTGTGTATTTGAGGGTCAAGGTGTCTCTATGCCAAAAAGGGAAAAAACCTTGTCTAAATTCCAGCTTAAGTAAAACAACCTTCAAACCCCACGTCCAGAAAACAATTGGCACTATTTACTGCTTTCTGCAAAGACATCAGAATGAGGCACCGGGTCACATGTTGCCCTTTTCATGGCAGAACGTGTTTGCACAAGACTTTTGAGCCATTGCAACGTGCAGAGTTTCTAAAAGAGAAGTCAGAAATGTTATTTCAACATCGCTTTGTTTCTCACTCTGCTGGGCCATCTCCCCCATGCCACGCACATTCGTTAGCTTTGGGCTCCTGTGTGTGTCCGTGTCTCCCCTAACCTCCCGTTAAAGAGGTTCACCTAAAGCAGATCCCACTCAGCCCCGGAAGAGACGAGCAGATACTTGCCGGTGGAGAAATCTCATTTATAACCATGGATGTGTCCCAGGCTGCAGACAGCCCTCTGCGAAGCAGCCCAGGTGCTTTATCTCAGGAACAGGAGTGTGCAGTGAGGAAGCGGGCGTCTCAAGGAAAGCGGGCATCCTTTGAACCCTCCCCTTGGGTGGGCAGACCCCAGCCAGACTGAGAGAAGGGAAGCCTCAGGACTTTCTTGCCAGAGGCCAGGGAAGGCTGGGAGGGCCTGATTACTGGTTACTTGTTTGTGAGGTACCGCCACCTCATTCCTTAGGGTGGGCTGCTTTCAGGGCTGTTTTTCCTCCTTGCCACCCAAGGAGGAAATTCGTATTCGAACCTGCTTCCAGAAGCAAATGTATCTGTGGACGCTGGGTGTTGTGTGTGTGTGTTCCGTGGAGGGTACGGGGCATCAAGGCAGATGGAAATTGTCTCTTTTTCTCGAGAGTGGTTCTTAGACTGTCTGACTCCTAAGCTGTCGTGTGCCGGAAAAGAGCAGCAGAGGACCCGGAAACACAGGGCTCTGACCCTGGGGTGGCCACCAGTGACGACGTGGCCAGGATGAGTCAAGTCAGTCTGTGAAACGGGTGGAACCAGCGCCCCAGGCTCCCTCCACGCTGCACAAGCCATCAACGTCTAGTTGTGCGTCAGGGCTGGCGTTCCTGAGCTGCCCTGGGTAGCGCCCGCTGGCTGGGCCGGTGACCAGCCCGACCCGCTTCCTGGTGTGGCCCCTCCTCGCGGCTGCGAGTGTGGCTGCCCCGCCGGGCTCTGTCACTCATTGAAGATCAGTGGCTCTCAACTGGGGTGATTTTGCCGCCCAGGAGACATTTGGCCAGGCCTGGTGACATTTCTGGTTGTCAGAACGTGGTGGGTGGGGAGATGCTCTGGCATCTAGTGGGTAGAGGCCAGGGATGCTGCTAAACATCCTCCAAGGCACAGCCCCCCCAAACCCAGACTTATCTGCTCTTTGTCAATAGTGCTGCTGTAGAGAAACCCGGAAAATAAACTAAACTGTCAGTGATGTCCCTGACGGAACCTGGGCCCTCCTCCTCAGTCAGGTTTTATCCCCACTGTTTGCTGTACTGACCCTCTGCTAGAACTGGATGGACCTGCGCCATCCACAATCCGATTCATCCACAGTGAGGCTTCTCATCCGCCCTCTTCCTCAACCTCTCCCCGCTTTGAAATCACCTATCACCGCCCCCCACCCCGTCTTCCTTTGCATAGTTACCTGTTTTTCTGATGTATTTGAGCTGTTTATTGTTGCATGATGTGGCCCCTCTGGCAGCAAACACCACTGGGGGCGGGATCTGCACCACAGAGGTTGGCAGCCCTTAGAAATCCTTGGAGCTTATCGAGAAAACACAAGCCCAGGGACCAGTGCAGTTTGGGTTTGCTTCTCAGTGGCACCTAGACCATTTTATAGACAGTCTCGGGGAATTCACAGACCCTGAGGCCTGCCCTCTGATCCCTGGAGGAGTGCCCCTAATGTAGGCGACAAGAACGTCATTCCAGAACAATGGCGAGACTGTCACAAGTATGAAGTGTGGCACGAGAGCGCATGTGTATGTGTGCGTGTGAGTGCACACACGTTTAAAGTTTAGATCTTTCCTTTTTAGAGATCATCTCTAATCTAGTCGTCCTAACAGTGGTGCCAGTGGTCATGAAGACACACCCTCACCCATGATGGAAAAGAGAAGGAATAGCTTGGCATTAACGTTCAGCTTGTTTAGGAAAAGCAGAGTAAGCACATTAACACTTTAAAATTATATTTATTTAAGTTAATAGAGGCTGTAGCAAGATCTTTTCTCATAAGGTCACTGTCCACACAGATGCTAAGTAATGCCTGGTCTATTCGTGTAATTTGGGGAGGTCCCCTGTTCTCTGTATTTGAGTGGAAGGAAGAGTGTGTGACTTGTAAGGCAAACCAATAATTCAGAATATAAATATTCCTACTTGAGTTACGAAAGAAAAAGTTCTAAAATGATTGCTAGGTGATAAACATTTGTTGTACATTTGACTTCGTGAACCTGGAGTGGTTTGGGGCTTTGGGCTGGGGAAGAGTGGCAGGTGGTACTTTTCTGTACACTCTGTGCCAGAGTTCATCTCATTCCTGGAATTATTCCTAGGCAGCTGTGGTAAACAGCCAATGCTGAAAGGTCTTCAGATCCAAATATTGAGGGCTTGTTTCAGCCAGGAAATCTGCCAGGCTCTGGGCCAATTCTTGCTATTTTTATTGTGTGGATGTGTGTTTTTAAACACCCGGCAGAAGCGCCTCACCCATCACTCACAGAAACCCATCAGAAGGCTCTGTATTCCGAGCCTCACCCTAGATTTAAAACACAGTTAATAGAGGTGTGCTTTTTAGGGCCTTACACTGTTAGGAACACAAACTATAGATATATATGGATAAATAAATTTGTTTCTCCTGATTTTCTTATACCTGTGCTTTTAAAATTAGTCTGTGGTTTTTTTGTTTTGTTTTGTTTGCGGTACGTGGGCCTCTCACTTTTGTGGCCTCTCCCGCCGCGGAGCACAGGCTCCGGACGCGCAGGCTCAGCGGCCATGGCTCACGGGCCCAGCCGCTCCACAGCCTGTGGGATCCTCCCGGACCGGGGCACGAACCCGCGTCCCCTGCATCGGCAGGCGGGCTCTCAACCACTGCGCCACCAGGGAAGCCCATGATCATTATTTTTAATGTAGAACACATGGGAGGTTTCAATTTGATATTATTTTCCCTAGTCTGTGGTTTTGAAAGATGAATACACGATTCCTACGGGCAAAGTAAGTAACTGGTCAACTATTTCTGCCAATTTCTACTGAAGACCGTTATAATTCACTTCAGGCACAGAGGAGGAAGGAGCTGCATCTCTCTCGTTAAGCCACCCTCTTCTTCCGTATTAGGGGAGACTCATCTCCCTAAGGGTGGTAGCTGCCCTCTCTGCTCTGTATCCACTCAGTGACTACAGCTTAGGGTCTCGTAAGGAGAAGATGCTCAGTGTCTGCTTACTGCTAGTGATGAATTCAGCTGTAACGATTAGAACGTGACCTATTTAAAGTTTATAAGGGGTTTATTCCCTAAAGCAAGGTAGGGAGAAGCAAAAACAGCTGTGGGGTTTGGTTTTGTTTTTTTAGCATTGGACATAGCATCTTAGAAAAATGACATGGGGGACTTCCCTGGCCGTCCAGTGGCTAGGACTTGGCGCTTTCACTGCTGTGGTCCTGGGTTCAGTCCCTGCCTGGGGAACTAAGGTCCTGCAAGCTGCCTGGCACGGCCAAAAAAAAAAAAAAAAAGGCTATGTCGTTGGCCCTGAATAAATATACCTAAAAGAAAAAAAACAAAACAGCGGGCACCCAAAAAAAAAAAAAAAAAAAGAAGAAGAAGAAAAGAAAAATGACGTGGCCCTTCCTTCATTTGGTGTCTTCATGTCTCAACAGGGGGCGGGGGATCCGAGTGGGGGAACCCAGATGGCATACCTGCCACCCTGGGCTCGAGGGGGGTGAAGCTAACTTCTGGTTTCACCTGAAAACTTCATTCAGGTTTCCTCATCCTTGGCAAAACAACAGCATAGTACTCTGGGCAAGTGTCTACTTGTGAGCTGATACTCCATGTGGCATCTGGGAATTAACATGGCCATTCTTATGAAGGTTGGGTATAGAAATCTAATTCCTTTTGGCGTGGTCTTGTCTCGTGATAGATGTGATTTATCCATCAGGAACGTCATCCCGAGTGCAGGGAGCAAAAGGTTTTGTTCCCACCCTATTAAGGCAGCGTTGGAGGGAGGGACTGTCAGAAAACTCATCTAGGACAAGCGGCCACTCCAGGACCCACTTCAGTGCCCCTTCTTACCGGGCCTATCATGAGGACCTGACCCACGGGGTCATGAAGAGATGTGCAGTGCACATGGACTTGAGGAAGCGGTCTGGGGAAAGTCCAGCGGGCTCTCTTCTGCCCTGGGCTGGTCACGCCAGCAGCAAGAGGAGGGAACCACAGGGCAGCCTTCCCACAGGCTGCCTGCTGGTCACAATTTGAGCCAGGAAGAAGTGGACAGGGACAATGGAGGGGAAATTATACTCTCTGCAAAGTTGTCTGTAGGGGAAAACTAGTCTGGAGATAACATATATTCCTTATCCTATGCCTAAGCAATTCTGAATTCTTTTAAAAAATTCTTTAAATTCACAGAAAAATAAGGAAAAGGCCAGATTTTCTAGGGCTGGCTTCACAATTTCGTTCGAGACATTTATAGTAAGAGCACTTGAGTTCTCATGTTTTTAAGTGTTGGAACAGGGGCAGGAACGCAGTTCATTCCTGGTTCAGGATGTGCCCCTGATTTTATGCACGGCAGTACTGAGGATGAATAGGCACTGAGACTCTGAAGTCTTCAAGATTTAACTCCTCTCCAGCAAAAGTAGTTGAAATAAGAAATGCAGTTTAAGTCTTGGAAACCTGAGCGGGTGAAGGCTCTTAGAGGTTTGCCCCCATAGGGGCTGAGGAGGCCCGATGTCTCACTCTGACTCTTTCTGTCCCCGCAGTACGCCACCACGGGCTGTTCCCTGACCCTGCACCACACGGAAAAGCCGGAGCACGAAGACATCTGTGAATACCGTCCCTACTCTTGCCCTTGTCCCGGTGCTTCCTGCAAGTGGCAGGGGTCCCTGGAAGCCGTGATGTCCCATCTCATGCACGCCCACAAGAGCATCACCACCCTTCAGGGAGAAGACATCGTCTTCCTGGCCACAGACATTAACCTGCCGGGGGCTGTGGACTGGGTGATGATGCAGTCGTGTTTCGGCCATCACTTCATGCTGGTGCTGGAGAAACAAGAGAAGTACGAGGGCCACCAGCAGTTTTTCGCCATCGTTCTGCTCATCGGCACCCGCAAGCAGGCTGAGAACTTCGCCTACAGACTGGAATTGAACGGGAACCGGAGGAGACTGACTTGGGAGGCCACGCCGCGGTCCATCCACGACGGCGTGTCCTCGGCCATCATGAACAGCGACTGCCTGGTGTTCGACACAGCCATAGCGCATCTTTTCGCAGATAACGGGAACCTTGGAATCAATGTGACTATTTCTACGTGTTGTCCGTGATGCACCGAAATGATTTGGGCATAGCGCTCTATGGTTAATAAAGGTTTTTATAGATGTTTTATTCACTGTATCTTCACAAGTCAAGACCCACAGTTACCCCGTGTTCTGTGTGAACGGCAGCTTCCCATCTGGCATTGGCTCAACAAAGTTCATTAAACTGGGACGGAGGAGGTTGGCCTGTTAGTCATTTGGAGGCTGCTCTGTGACCTAAAATCAACTTTATTATTCAATTTTATTTACTTCCTGAACAGCACCTGACAGGTCGTTCGGGCTCCTCTAGACCCGTATGTTAGGAATCGGAGGCTCTTTCCTGCCTGCCTCCCTGCATTGGTCCCCGCAAGTTGACAAAAGCACAGTGACTGTCAGCAGATTCCTTAAGTTTACTTTTATCTTGTGTTTAAGGGGGTATGAATTGTTTCAATGCAATTTAAACAGTGTTTCTCAAACCAGATGGCTAACCAATGTGCATAGAATCAACTGGAGTGCTCACCTGAAACATGCAGTCTGGGGAGCCTGGGAATTTTAACAATCTCATCAGGGGATTCTTTCCAACAGTGAAGTTTGAGAATTAATGGGTTAAACTGTGGGAAAGGGTCCAGATTTTAAAGGTGCTTTAAGATTGCCCTCTGCTGATACTGTTTGTCTTTCTACTATTTCATCCACACACCTCCCACCCCCAAATTAAAACTAGAACTACAGACCCCCATGAACACAGTCCTGAGATCTGGTCACTGTCTCGTGTTTGGGGTGGATTGCCTAGGAAAGCAAGTCAGATGGCTGTTGATGGCTCTCACGTAGTTTTTGCTCATCACTAGTACAGAAGACCTGTTTACATGTGGCTTCCTTCAGTGGCCCTCCTTGACTTAGATGGTGGGAAAGACTAGACGAGTAGAGTTGGAAACGCTTTATAACGAGTGTCATCTGCTTGCTGTTTAAAGGAATGTGTTGGGTTGGTTTGTTTTTGCCACGTTCACTTTAGTTTTTTAATAAATATTTTTCAAAAATGAATATCCTGCTTCATCTTCTGAGTGGAATAATGCATATTTATTGGGTACCTACTAGGTTCAGGTGCCATGAAGCTTCACCCCTACCCTGGGCTTGGAGCTCTCACTGTTCCCACGTGAAGAAACCGTCATTCGTCCAAGATCATGGCACGGATTGGTGGCACCACTGAGGTCCACACTTACTTCTCTGAACCACAGAGTGTCATTGGTGCGGCAGGTCTCCTTGGAGCAGTTCTTTCTGCCTGACGGTGCCAGAGCTTGTGGAGGGAGAGTATTTCTCCTGCTTTACAGAATCAGAAGGAAGAGGCTTGGCTAGAGCTGACGTCCAGAGTACTGGGTTCGAAGCCAGGGTGACCCAGTCCCTACGTCCCAACCCTAAACCCTCAGAGGAATTCACAATATTAGCCCTGAATGCCTGGTGAGGATTGACTGCTTACCTTGGTGGCCCGATGGCATTAGAGAAGCACCAGGTGTGAATGATGGCTTTACAGTTGTTTTGTTTTTTTAGACGAGACTGAGTTTTTAGCCAGGAAGAGAGTTTTGGCAGTTAAGGAATTGCTAAAGCAACTTATCTCCAAGGCTATTCTTCAAATAAAGGTGAAAAACAGTGCCATGAATAAAAGAATATGCTTATCACATGTTTAGTAAATGAATGAAAACCACAATCCTTGTCACCAAGAAAGTCACATTTCAAGCCGGAACATAGAGGGATGCCTGGAGGTGAAACTAGAATCCAGGAGCAGGTGGACTTTGACCCTCGGGGGGCAGAGCTGGTCCAGAGATGGCAGTCTAGTGCACGTATGACACCCAGGCAATGTGTTTTGTACATAAACTAGCCTAGCTTGTCATCATCCTGTGGTGTCCATAGCTCACCCTTCTTGTTATATGTAATGGAGGAAATCAGGAGCAACTGGTCAATGAGGTACCAAAGGGTAAAACTATAATCAAAGAGTGTAATGGAGCAGACAGTGGAATCAAACTATTCCAAAAGCATAAAATGTTAGATTATCAGCCCCAAGAGGTAAAGGGATGGGCCAGCAGTCATACAGTGCATTAGTGGCAGCGCAGATTTTAGAATTCAGACTTCCTGACTCCCCATTCAAACACGTTTCTAGAACTTAAATGAAAATACAGTTGTAGGCAACAAAACGGAACTTTCACTTTCCATAGTTTTCTAGCTCTCCTTAATCTGTCACTGGAAATCTGTAAACTTAACTTTTACTCTCTGACTTTTTTTTTAAACTTAAGCATTTTCTGCCAGAAAACAAACAAAAATCCCCAGGTTATTCCCTGTTTTAAGTGGAAGTGAAAACAGCAAAAAAGATTATGTAAATTAAAATCTCTTTTTATGTAGTTCCAATTGCAAAATGCAATTTAAAACACAATGATAGGCATTTGTCAAAACTCATCACATGGTACACTTATGTACCATATAAAAAAAAAGTCTCTTTTCCGTCTTAGTTCTATATTCTAATTTGATAGAAATCTGGCTGATTACGCAAGATGGTAGATTCAGCCTGTATCTTACGTGCCTAAGCCATTCTAAAGAAAAATAAGATTCTCAAAATACCTTGAAGGAAATGTTAATAGTTATTAATTCTGGGTTGCAGGAACCCGGTGTATGTTATATTAGTATTTACATTATTCTCTATTTTTTTTAATTGTTTTAAGCTAACCAACCTTGAGATCAGGGGTTCCCAACTTTTCCGCAAGGCGGAACTGGCCTTGGTTTCCCTAGATCCTTAGGATTTAGAGGATTAAGAGGATGGAGTCCTCACAGCAAACCGTCCAGTGCAAATTATGGGAAACTTCAGAGAAGAGGCCACGGAGGCATCAACCATGGTGGAATGCACGTGAGTAGAATCTGAAACTCCACTCTCAGGTTCAAACAAATGGCTGAGTATCTCTGTCTTAGCAGCAGAATCCTGCAACTCCCTTACAAAACCATCCCCAAGAAGGTCTCCTTGTCCCTAACTTCAGGCTCTTGGGGCTGGTCAAATAGCCAGCGGTGTGACCTTAGGTCCATGAGTTGACCTCTCTGGTCCCGAATGTCCTGACCTGCACCATTTGAAGGTCTATTTTCTAAATGTTTCACTCTAATACTAATTTCGTGAGACAACTGAGCTATTTAAATTTAAGGTGTGTAAATCATTCCAGCGGGCTCTGAACAAGGTGGTTCAGGGATAATTGTGACCCAGCGTGTGTCATTCAGAGTTAGTAGGTGGGTCACACTCCAGCTGCCTCTCAATTCCCACGGTTTAGAGCCGGGGATGGTGCCTGGGCATTGAAATCCATTTTGCTTTGTAGTTCTGGCTTGAGGGGACTGCGGCCTTGACCTTTCCTGACTCATGCATCCTGTGCTTGAAGTATGATTACAATTTCACTGACCTGTGCTGGCCCAGAAGAAAGGGAGTCAAGAGTTCTTAAAGAATAGGAAATCTCGCACTCAGTATCTGGGGTCCCCAAATGACAGGGCAAGAAAGAACATTAGACCCTGTTGATATGAACACCTGCTACCTCTACCACTATTTTAGAGAATGAATGGATGGATGGATGGATGGATGGATGGATGGAGACAAACAGAGGGGAAACCACTGGCCTAAAAACCACACAACTAGTTAGAATTTCCTGTGGTGATGACATGGTGTCTTCTGTATTGAATAAAAGGGGGAAAATTATAAAACTATTCAAACTACAAGCTGACATTTTATGATAATTAAGACAAATGAAGGGAATTCGCCCCCAGTCTTGAATCCACCAAATTCTCCCCGCTCCATTGCCACCACCATCTGGACTTGGACTACTGTCAGAGCTCCTAACTGCCTGTCCTCCCTCTTGCCCTGCTTCAACCCAGTCTACACATAGGAAATCACAAGGCTTTTTTTAAGTGAAAACTGAAGGCGCTAGAAGCTCTTCAGTATTTTCTTTCAGGAAGCCTTGTTCTTTCCCTTCATAGCACTTTCCACAATGGCAACTGTCCATTTTATTTCTTCAACATCTGCCCGCACCCCCTCGACAAACTCCAGGGTGAAAGAGATTGTGAAGTTTTTGTTTGTCCTTGTATCCCTGGCACCTGGGCAACCAATTAATACTGATTGAATAAATTACTACTAACGATTAGTCTGAGCGCAGCATTGGACCAATACGTTAAGAGTTAACGTTCTCTGTTTTTATACCAAAACCCACCAGGGAATTTCCACATGTAGGCAGGGAACAGTAATCTAACAATCCAGAGAAGGAAGGAAACAAAAGGTTTCTCTGCTCTGTCATTCTCTGGGCAAGGACACTGGCCCGAAGGTCCTGTTCCTTGAGATGTCACGTCATAGTGTCACCTGACATTCAGATCAAAGGCAGATTCTGCTTTGTGCAGAGGACACAGATCAAGGTTCCTCTGACTTGCAGGGAGCTCTATCACAAGATTAGATCCACTTGGAAAGTCCACCAAGATAACAGCAGTTGCCATTTGATGGGCACCTATTGGTACAAAGTGCTTTGTATATATTAACCCATTTAATCCTCCCCATATCCCAATGCAATAAGGGTTTACTATCCTGAATTTGGAGTTGAGGAAATTAAGACTCAGAGAGATGGGGTAACTTTTCTGAACTCACACAGCTGGTAAACAAGAGAACTGGGATATAAACCCATGCATAGTCTCCACGCCCCTTCATTATGTCCCATTGTCCATCAGTGTTGGTGTTCGGCTTTCACATATTTTGACCACCAACAGAAATACTGCTCATTTGTAACAGGTAAGGATGACAGGATATAGAGGTGCAGGAAGCTTGGTGGATACAGAACACCTGTGCTTTAGAACTGCTTTCTCCACTGTCGCAGCATATTACAAGGGAACAGAAACCTAGGATCATTAAGACCCTCACTATTCAAAGAGTGGTCCATGTACCAGCAGCATCAGTATCACCTGGGAGCTGCTTAGAAATGTAGCATCTCAGCCCATACCAAGGCCTGCTGGATCAGAATCTGCATTTTTTGTTT